TTGCCTGCTGAGATTTTGCATGTCTTTACTGCATACAGGCATCTTACTGCATGCTGACTTTAGGTCACCGCTCATCAGTGAATAGACGACTGTAATGTTACCATTTCTCAGGGCTAAAGCTTTTCCCTTTGTATGCTCTCATTTTCTATATTTGTGGATGTGTATATAACTGCATATAGCTGTAAATATACGTGTGTGTGTGTGTGTTTATGTAACTGTTTATTTAGTAGATGTACATATGCATGCATGTAAAGAGAGGGAAGAAGAGGTCTTGTATATAGTTTTAACAAATGGGAACTTGGCTGCTACTTTTGTTTTCATTGGTTAAACCACAAAAAGTCAGTAATTGAACCATGAGCTTTGCATCACTGAATTATCGTTTCTCACCTCACTCTTGAACTAGGGAGGATTAACATAGTTTCTCACTGCCATCTGTTCTGTATATTATAGGTGGAGTAAGTAACAAGCAGCTGTGAATTACAGGGCTATAATTCCGACAAGGAACTTTGGTGGTGCTGTAAACCACTCTGTCAGTTCTTTCGAGCAATAGGCAGAACTCTGTGATATTATAGACAGCTAGCTCTGCAGTATAAATTTATTGCTGTTATTGCTATTGTTGTTATTTTAGACTTTCTGTAGTACATAAGAGTTCCTGTAGGGTATGGTTAGTTTCTTTGTAGAAACAGATCCATGAGAACCCATGCACTGACAACATTTACACTGATTTTGTTCAACAAACTTCCTTCTCCCCAAGATTTACATCAGTTTATAAATGAACAGAAGCCAACACTAAAATAAAAACCAGGCCCTACAGTAGGTTTCTTGGAGACCTTTTCTCTTAGATCATTTGTTTCAGTGAGGTCTATGCCTAAGTTACAGCAGATCCTGGTGATCACTGGAAGGACAAGGTCATCAGTGTGGTGTATAGCTTGCACTAGCTCTCAGACCACTCCTTATTTGCTTCGCTGGCTCCACTGCTCCTTAACACTATTTAATTCTACTTTGTTGGCCACATCCTGACATAATTCTTGGTGGCCTCTGGCTGAATCTGTAGTAAGGCTACGTCCTGGTTAACAGAAAGGCTTGGATATATTTAAATGGGAATTACTGACCTAATGTCCCTGTAATTTCCCTGCTAAATGCATTTTTATTGGGATGGCATTTCCCTAATTTTATTAGACCATTGGTTCATAACTGATCTATGTGGTGGAAAAAATGCCATTACTTCTTTAGGTTGCCAAGGCCATCTGCCATGCAGTGATTAGCCAGGCCTATGCCGATTCATTTCGTATATATCTGACAAGATTTTAGTCTTAGGCACGGTAGCTACAGGCACAACTATGAGTCACATACAAATTTTTTTCTTCCTTGCCAACCTCTGTATTAAAGATTTTCTTTTTCTTAGGGTTATTTATGTCCAAATGAGTTTATTGCAACTCAGGGACCATTACCAGGAACAGTGGGTGATTTCTGGAGAATGGTGTGGGAGACAAGAGCAAAAACGCTTGTGATGCTTACACAATGTTTTGAAAAAGGACGGGTGAGTTACCACTGTACTAATTAACAGCATTTGAGATAATTGGAAATTGTGTATGTAGTTTCTGTCAGGATTATAATACGATCATCGCTAATTAGTCATCATCTCCCTGCAGATAAGGTGTCATCAGTACTGGCCAGAAGATAATAAGCCAGTGACTGTGTTTGGGGATATAGTGATTACTAAGTTGATGGAAGATATTCAAATAGACTGGACCATCAGAGATCTAAAAATTGAACGGGTAAGTCAGAACCAGAAGGTGATTGAATAAAACCCATCTAACACCTCAAAGAACGTCAAATGTGCTCCATCCCACTCAACTACCCCTCAGTATTCTTTTAATCTTTTAACGTGTATGCACTGCAATGCCTGATTTTCATGCATTTTGTTTTCATTCCTGTTTGGTTTTGGTTTGGTTTGGTTTCTTTTTCCTGAGAATTTTCCCAGTTTCTGTCACAATGAGCTCGGATATTTGTCTGACATGCTATGAAGGGTCTGTCAAGGTTACTGAACCTCTGGTCTGGTGGGAGTTGAAGTTTCTATTTGAACATCTCAGTTGTCTCTTCTAGAAAGGAGTAATCCTAACCATTCTAGGATCAGACAAATCCCTTTGAGTATATCCCTCTCAGATTAAAGGGCAAGATTCTCTGGTGCAGCGCAGCTGTTTTGCATTGTACCACCAGACGTATTGGCCTCCACCCCCAGGAGATTCACCCAATATAAAAAAGAATCATCAGTATTACTCCCACTCTATGTGCTGGGAAGGGGAGTGCGGGGCACAGAGTAGATCTTCATCTTTGCCATGATCCACAGCTATGATTTCCAGTCTTTGGAAAAAGTGAGCACCCAGCATTAAGGCAGACCAACAGGTAGGCTCAGAAAGCAATCTGGGCATGATGAATCACAATGAAGTTAGTCTTCTTTTCCACACCCAGTATTGACCTGTGTTATATGTAGTTCAGCCAGATACTAGGACCTGAACTTGGCTATCTAAATACATGCATTACCATCCTGTGGCATGTTCACATGACGAAAGGAATGCAGCAGTTAGGGGATTGCCTCAGTGGTCACCCCATAAGGATGTGTTGTGCACATAGTACAGGACAACCAAATGTTTTAAAATGAGAGACAGTGAACTTTTTTTCAGTTTAAACAAGACATAAAGTAAACAAGACCAGAAAAGGGACTATTTAAAATAAAAATGTAAGCTAGCAAAATGTGAAGTCACCTGTGTTAACCATTGTGAGGCAGAGAAGAGAGAAGAAAGGAAAAGAGAAAACCTGAACTAAGTGATACATTTACTATAGCTGAACTACGCTGCACAAAATTCTATGTCCTTTATAAGCATGTCATTGAATGTGCCATATTGCTGGCTTTGATTGTACTTCATCTTCCATTCACAAATGGGTAGATTCGTGATGATCTTCCAGTGAAGATAAAAAGCATATGTGAGGCAAATCATTCACAATTATTGCCATATTGTGTCCAAAGTAATTTATCTTTTTGTTTTATGTTCAGCAGTTTTAAAAATATAGACTGAAAGTAGTTGCTCGACATAATTGTGCCAGTTGTTCAGTGTTTCTTGCAATATGAAAAGAGCAAGTGGTTGGTTCAAAATAAAAAAAAAAAAGAGGAACTGGTTCATTACACAACAGTTGAAACTGTGGTACTCCTTGCTGCAAGATACTGTGAATGCTACAGTATTACACGGCTTCATAAAATCTGGAGAAATTAGTATAAGAAAATTCTGACAACTGCTGTTAAATTTTGAGATACCATCTCTAGACTAAGGCAGTTCACAAGTCACAAGTTATTAAGAATGGCAGTGATATTCTGTGGAACTATAGATATATTGTTATGTTTTGTTGGTCTAGACAGGCCTTTGGTATGATCCTGTGCTTTTATTCTTATGTCCTTCATAGTTAATTTAGATGTCAGATCATAACCTGCTCTTTTCTTTGAGTCGCTGTTGCTGCTGCTCTCACTGAGAGGGTATCAAACACTTAGAAAATATAACTGCGTTTACCAGTGTATGTGTGTTTGCCTTCACTGCATTAGTTCAGCCATAGAATGGTTGCTTTCTCCTAAATATATTTGTCATCCCAGTTCACTAAACTTCTAAGTGAGCCATAGAAACCTCAACAGGTAATCTACAAATTGCATTGATACAGGGACTGAAGTCAAATGGAGAGCAACTGCTGAAGTCATTAATACTTCCTGAAAGATGGACTTGATGCTATCTCTCAGAAGACCTGCCATCAGACCAGTGCAACACAAATTATCCTTTGATACAAATACCTCTTATAATGATGCTATTCTGACATTCTTTTTTCACATGAAATTGTTAAGAAGGTTACATGTAGCTTACTGGATCTTCTGTCACATTTCTTCTGTAAAAACTGTCTTATTTTGCATTCTTCAGCATGGAGACTGCATGATGGTGCGGCAGTGTAACTTCACTTCTTGGCCAGAACATGGAGTCCCTGAAACTTCTGCACCAATTATCCATTTTGTAAAACTTATCCGTGCAAGTCGAGCCCATGATAATACACCGATGGTGGTTCACTGCAGGTAAGCATATTCACCAAATCATCATGGAGTATCTGAGAATTTCAAGTGCATATTAATGCTTAGGGAAGTTGCCAGAAGAACAATGAAAACTGAGTACACAGGTATGGTTCTAGTATGGACAGCAGTGAAGCTTTCTCCAGTAGAGCTCCTTAGTTCTTTCTAGGAAGTAAAATGCCAAAGTTTTTCTGTTTGTGGAAATCCCACTGAGGTGATGTCCGTGAAACAGTTACTTCAACGATTACCATAAGGTACTGCTAGATTTATCTCAGTTTTCCTTTTTATCATAAGAAAAGGAATAGAAAATGACATGTTGGGTTTAATTACTCCTGTTATAATTATAGCCCCTCTTAAGAAATAAGTTTAAAAAATTTATTTAAAATATACATGTCACATCAAAAAGAAGAAACTATTTGAGAGCCACAGAGAATGACAAATAGGAATAAAGGTTTGCGTATGCCAGATTTCAGACTTGGATGCCTGTAAACAGCTAAAATCTATATTTAGGCTCCTAAATGAATAGTCTGGTGATTAGAGGTGTTCAGCTGTCATGGTTCCCACTGATCTCATACTCAACACCCTTAAACTGCTTTTCAAAGAGTAAGTGTGTGGGGAAGGCTAAGTCTTCAGGGAAGTGGTGAGTGTGCCTGTGTTTCATATGCAGGTCTGTATTCCCACTGAATGAGCGGGCACACTCCAAAACAGCAATCTGAACTCAGGGGTCCACAGATGATTCTTTGCCTCATTCTCACTTAGTGTGAGTCTGAAAATAGGTGGAAGAAAAAGCTGGGTTTGTTGCCATAAATCTCTTCCCTAACTATCCAGCTTATCATGCATGGAAGTTCTTTTTGTTTGTCCTCAGTGCCTCACAGGTGCCACCCACAATGGGTTGATAAAGCTTCATTTTATTTGGTATCATTGTCACTGACAGTTTGACATTTCCCTATACTGCAGGGGCCAGGGAGACTATTGCAGGAGAAAACCACAGGTCTTGTAGTTTTGAGGACACTTAATGTTCTCTGGGGCTGCTCTGCAGTGAATCTTACCCCGTTTTCACAACACAGTTATTTAAAGGGGCCAACACAGGCCAAATGCTCCACCTGTGCTCAAATTCCTGATGGTTATAAAGCAGCATAATGTATTCTCATGTCCCGAAAACTCATTAATTACTTTCAGCTTATTAGAACTTGCAGGTTGAAGAGAGTTTTGCTCTACATTTCCTGATTATCTGCAGTGATATACTCTCCATTTAGTACACTGATTGCAGAGAAGTCTGATAGCAATTTTGAGAAAATCCCATGTTATTTTGTCTCAAATACCAAAAGCATCACAGAATCAAGGTACGATTGCACAAAATCTTGTGATTTCTTTTTTCTTTGAATTACTGAGCACTAGAAAATTCTCAGAGAAGTTGAAGAACTGTTTTTTCATTTACAAAGATTTGGTTTAGTTATATCTCATTTTTCAGGTGCAACCCCTTGCAAAATCAGAACATGGCACAAATCCAGGTTTCACTTAATCCCATTTAGAAAGCAGATACACAAGTAAATACTGGAAAATATTTATTTTTTTACGAAGTTTTCTTTTCACACTTAATTTAACCAGATCTTGTATATTATGTTTGCAGTGCTGGCGTTGGAAGAACAGGTGTTTATATTGCACTTGACCATTTAACCCAACATATAAATGACCATGATTTTGTGGATATCTATGGACTTGTAGCTGAGTTAAGAAGTGAAAGAATGTGTATGGTACAGAATCTGGTAAGATCTGTATATTTATGTGTTTTGTTTTTGCGTTGTTAAAAAGTTAGTTATCTGATCTCCTAGAAAACAAGACTAGAAAGCTCATAACAATGAACTGTCTAATGCTAAATCCTACTTCTATTTGGATTTCAAGCATTCTGCAAGTGTATGGTTTGTATCTATATTTAACTGTATTGGCCAGCAAAGCCTTGACAGTTGCTGAAAAAAGTGCTGAGATGTTCAATTTTTAGAACCTAAATCATAATTTCTCAGACTTTGAGAAAGTTCATTTCAGGTTTTGGGTGAAACAGTTGTTAAATAAAAGAAGTGGATTTGCTCATGCGCTACTTAATTTGACTTTATTTACTACTTAGCTAATTTTTTTGTGTAGGTATATGTAGCATAGTCCTCTAAACTTTTAACTATTTGATTACCTTTGACCTCATTAATGATTCCTTGATTCTTTTTAAACTGCTTCAAATAAAATAATACATATGGATAGAATTAAGCACAGACTCCAGATTTTGCAAAATCAAGGCAGTAGTGGGGTTTGGGTCTAAAACATTGCATTTCTGGCAGATTTACTGAGTATGGATATAAGGTAGTGACAACCAGCTTGTAAGGAAGACATCTCCTGTATCTGGGGGTCTGGTTCCAGTGGAATGGAAATCCAGCTGTATTTGCATAAGGCTTCTGGAATAAGCCTTCTTCAGACTAGATCCAACCCAAGGCTCCTGCAGAAGCCTTTGAGTCTACAGCATGACTTAGCAGCCTCTCAGTATGGGTGAGCAGTTTCAAGACGAACTTCCACATGGCTAACGGTTTTAAGCTGATTTTAGTGTAGGGAGACTTTTTCCATTAGGAACGACATTCTTCTGTTCTAGATCATGTCAGAATACACAAAAAGTGTGTCAGAATATACAAAAAGCAGTTAATCTCTCTTCAGCAACTGCACTTCAGAAGATTTTGTGAGACCTTCTGTTGATACTGTGTCATGCTGTTTCTTGTATGGTGCAGTCTGATTACCAGTTGCTTTCAGTTTTTCCATTTGAAGTCTTTATGCAGCTAAACAATTGCCAGGACTTTCCTGTGATGATAAATTCTGGGAATACTTTTTTTCGTTGTTGTTTTGCGTTTTTTTACTAGGAATAGAATAATCTGAAAATAAGGTAAAGTCTGGAAGAAAATTTAATGTCTTCCAGTCATAAAAAAAAAAAAGACTTTCAAATAATTAATAATGTCATTAATTCTAACTGGGAAAATAACTTGTCACACATGTATACCCCAGGTATCTATGCTCCACTCTTCCCTGGCAAACCCAGAAAGATTTTCATTGCTACATGCTCACAAGTAGCTGTATGAATGCAAGAGATCATGGAGCTTTCAGAGTCTGCCTTCTGAACTAGAATCTTAGCTCCACTGAAACTTCAGACCTTTGTTCTAGAAATCCATAACTGTGTAGTGGATCTGTTAAAGTTTATCATCGTGCCAAGTCAAGTACAAAAGCTAGTTTGAAACAATGCCATGCTATTGCTTCAGTAAGCAAACTATTAAAAAGTGTAATGGTACTTTGAACTGCAGGGGCCTGTGGAAGTCTGGTTTAATTACCCGTGGCTCTAGAGCTGTGACCCTAAAACATACCTTTATAAGCAAATTTCTCTCATATATCTGAGACATTTAAATTGATGGCAGTTCTGAAACAAGATAGCAATTATTGAGCAGAAAAATTACACTAATGTATTTACCCATGCACAAATTAAGGAAGTTAAAGTTATTTTGGTCATCTCCATCTGTGGAGATATTGAAAACCCATCTAGACAAAGTCTTGGACAATGTGATTTAGCTGACCCAGCTTGAGCAGTAGGGGATTGCACTAGCTGATCTCAAGAGATCTCTTTCAATCTGGACAAGCCTGTGATCTGGTTCATTTTCAGCCTCTACATACACAGTACCTCTGTGTGAAGATCTGCTTAATCCCTTTATTTTCCTGCTGTCTGTTTTCATTCTCCATTTCATTCTTACATTGCTTTATTTTGTTATTCTCTTTTCAGCAATCATTAGCCAGAGTTACTTTATGTTCTTGGAAGTATGAAATTAACTTCAGATGGCAACTCTTTGCATTATAGTCAGTTAAAAGTGATCCTACAGTTCAAGAAGTATCTAAAAGTAATGTGGGGTTTTTTGGCTCTTAGCAAAGGGATATGCTCTTAGAACACATACATTCAGATATACTTGAACTTCTGCATTTGAGTGCACCCTGCTGGTTTTCTTTATACTAGAAAGACAGAAATTTTCTTACCTAAATATTTATGTGGTTCAGTTTCTTCAGTCTAGTGGCAAAAAGTAGTCTAGTGTCTTGTCATAGAGTAAAACTTTACAGAAAATTATGGAATCGCCTATTAGTCTCAGTTATGATTAGTCTAATTTCATATATCTTTACTGGGCATAAGAATTAACATGTTTTGAAAAATTTTAATGCAGCATACCTTGTAATGAGTGAAGTCAGATCAGGCATATGTGATGTGGTCATTGAAGTACTGACATTGCTCTGTTAAACTGCAGTTACTTTGAGAACATCTTGATGTTATATGAAAATTTAAAAGTTTTTTGGTACTAGAAGTACATTTTTCTTCTAATCAAACATCTTTAAATTCATGTCTTACAGGCACAATATATATTTTTGCATCAGTGTGTATTGGATCTGTTGACAATCAAGGGAAGTAGTCAGCCCATATGTTTTGTAAATTATTCAGCACTGCAAAAGATGGACTCTCTGGATGCCATGGAAGGTAAGGAGCTACAGATTGTCTCGAAATTATTTTTTCATAGCAGGTGCATTGACTGTCCAAACAAAGAACCATTAAAAAGTACTTTGACATGTGGGGTTTTATTTCAGGAGTGTAAATTTCTAGCATTTTGCTGCTCTTTAGTCTCACTCATAGAAATAGCCATTGATGAAGCTTTCCACTTCTTTCCCTGCAAGATCCTTTAAATTCAGCCAAAGCAGTTATCTGCCATTAGTTACTATTTATTTACTAGGTAGGTTAATGTAATGTATCTGTTTCTTCCGTAGGTGATGTGGAGCTTGAATGGGAAGAAACTACCATGTAAATACTAAGACAACACATTAAAGATAATGTGATTTTGAAAGTCAAATTCATATTTTTCTAAGCACAGGGGCCAAAGTGAATTCCCCTATTTTGATGATGAAAAACAACCACAGATGACTGGAACATCTTTTCTTCTATCAATGTGCCTTCATAGATATGTATTTTATCCAGATCACTGAGCAATAATGATTTGCACTTCTGGTGTTATATGAATATTGCATTCAGTATGTACTTAAACAGAAAGTGTGTTTGAGCATACTCCTTTTTTCTGGTTATCTTTGTAAAATAAGAAAAATGAGCCAAATATGATGTAAAAATTTCATATTCCCATTGAACTTATTTTGATGTGAATTTGCTGTGTTCTTTGTGGTTTGAAGTAAAAGCTACAGTTCCTTGAATCTGTCTTGCTAGATCAGTTTCAATGTTGTCAGCTCTTGCAGATTAATTCCAATACCACCACAGTGATCTTTACCTACCTGTATGTTCTTGTGTTTTGAATCTTTTTTTTACGAGTGGTAGCATATCAGCTCGTGATCCTGAACAGCTGAAGAGTCACCTTCTGACATGGGGAGGATTATTGAGCTTTTACAGAGCACACAGTAGTTCTTCAGGGACACTTGGGGCTATTTAAGCTATTTTATAATCAGCTGGTTGTGTTTTTTAAGCATACAGTGGTGATTGCATATGTTCAGTGCTGAAGTTAGTATTTTACATTCCTTCCACTTTTTCAAGCAGATAAAGTAAAACTATAAATTTATTATGTATATTACAACTGTTCTATTAGATTGACTTGAGTAATATCTATCAATAGAGTAATATCTATCAGTATTAGATTGACTTGAGTAATAGAACATTTATAATTCATTCACATTTCTTAAATATAACACTGGTATTTTGAAAGGTTACTCAAAATTTAGTAGCCATATATTTTATAACACAGAGTTGCAAGTTAAAAAGTTATTGCTCCTTCCTCAGGTTTGGCAAATCGCTGTAGACACTGAAAAGTTTGGGAATTAATATTTGGAGATTTAATAAAAAAAACATCTTCCATTCCCACTGACTATCATTATCAGAACTATATCTGAAACAGGAATAGGAGAAGTAGGAAGCTGTTATTTGATAAGCAAAGCAAAAACTGGTAAAGCAGCAGGAAGACTGGAGAGATAATTAAACTGCGTGCCCTGGTTTTACATGGGAATGACAGTATTCAGTTGATACTACGGCAGGGAAGAATTGGTTGCCAAGGTTTTCTCTTTGTAAAGAAGTGTATCATTTTAAGTAACACTAAAACTGTGACCTTAATCTGAGATGCAAAACATAATAGTAAAAGGACTTTGGTGTTGCCATCTTATATTCTGTTTAGACAGTAGAAATCCATAGCTTTGTTGAGGCGTCAAGCTCAGGGAAGTCAGGCAAACCTCTTTAGAACCTTGGAGAATATGTGTCTGTGGGTGTGTTTGTGTGCGCACACTCTGAACAGGATGGATAGTAACAAAACTTGCCATCTCTTAGCTGTAGCTCCCAGACAGAAAATGCTATACAGTATGTAACATGACACTGAAGTAAATAATGGTAGGTGTTTGATGTCTTCTGAGAAGCTGGCAAGGATGGTGCAGGGAGGACCCTTTGTAATGCAGCAGAAAGTGCCAAATACGTAAAATGAAAATCAAAAGATGGCATTTAAGGAGATGGAAATGGTTTGCAGAGATATTTTGGGCAACCTATCTTTCGCAAAGACTGACAGTGTTATAAACATCACCAGTCAAGCTAAAAAGAAACCAGTGCCTTTTAAAGCTGGATGGAGGGAGGAAGAGGTGATGTCCACAGCTGTTCAAGTCTCTGGCAAAGCATTTGGTACAGCTCCAGTTTCATTTGGTTCCTATGAAACATGTGTTCTTCATTTATTATACATGCATTTTAAAGTATTCTGACAAATTGTTTATAGGGACTTAAAGGTGTTTTTCATGATTTGTATTTGTACTTGGTAGCAGCACATGCAGCAGTGTGGTAAATTGACATTATAGAGTCATAATCTTGTATAATCTTATATCCACAATGGCAGGATATCTGTATGTGTGTCATTCCCCTTTCAAATGAAGGAGAAAGCTAAGAAGCCTTATGCAACTTACAGATGAACTCCAGAAGTTCCAAGTGTGCTTCAGTGTTTTATAAAATACTTAATGATGAAGATTCCTACATCCTCCTTTAGGGACCTGCCTGTGGTCAAACACTACATTCGGTAGCACGCTTGTCTGACAACTTAGTAAGATACTAGAAGATGTGACTCTCATTCCTGTAGAGGAAAAATTAAAAAAAAAGAAAGTAATTCAAATAGTTTATTATGCAATTTGATGTAGGCAATCTGATACGTGCTACCTTGACATATTTTGTATTGTCTTTAGGGTAAAAGCAAATATTCAGCAATAAACTGGCCACAACTCATAAAATACATGGTCAGGGAAAGAACTATCTCCAAGCAATTCTTTCCAAAATCTGATTTTCAGTATAAATACAGCAGTAGTTCACTGACCTTCTTGTGTGCCTGCCAGTGGTTTACAGGGATAGGGATCTGTATGTCAGGAGATCCCCCAGACCCCTGTTCAGTCATGAAGAAAGAATTTTCACATAGACTTTTATCTTCCAGCCCTCCTTTACTTATGCAGTGACACCTGTAGTGTGCTACTGACAGAACTGAAGAGCCAGAAGCAAGCAGAATTTGTCCAATTGCTATCGAAAGAATGAATATATATAAAAAGCAGCACAGCCTTTTTGTTTTTAATGGTGCCACTTAATTTTCTACGGATTCTTGGTGCTACTAAGACAGCAAGAATGTACTCTACAAAATTAGAAACTGAATGAACAAAACCTGGAGAATACACAGATTCTATAGGATTATTACAATTGTATTGGAATTAGGTCATACTGTATTAAATTATTCAGGCGATTTCTATAGAGACTGATATACCTCCACACGCAGAAGAAGCAGTCATTAGAATCATAGAATGGTTGGGGCTGGAATGGACCTTAAGATCATCTAGTTCCAACCCCTCTGCCATGGGAAGGGACACCTCACACAGACCATGTTGCAGAACATCATCGTTCATGTTGAATTTAAAACGCTTTTTTATGCTCTTGATAAAAATACTTATGCATTCAAACTTGTGCTTTTACTGTATATACAGAGCTATTCAGTAATTAAATTTCATAACATTGTGTGAAAGATTAATAACATGTATTAATCTCTGTAACATCGTCTGTGTACTGCTGCCATACAAAGTATGCTCATAAGCAGTTACTAAGACAAAATAGCAAAGAATGAATCAATCATATTTTATCCTGAGGTACGTGGCAGCAAGCTTTCCTGGTTACATACAGAAATGACAAAGCCTCCTACATGTGGACATGAATTTGTAGAGATTCAGGACACAAAGCCCCTTGAGGTCTGTGGCCAGAAGAGATTTTTTCTGAAAATATTTGGACAGCAAGTTAAAATTAAACTTGAAACGTACCTGTTTCAGAGTATGTATGGCACGTGTATTAAGCATTACACAAGATTATTGTCTTTCCATGGAAACAAACAATAAAAATAGATAGATCCAAATTAATTTTTGTTTTCCAAACTATGAAAACTACCCAGTTACCTCTCTGTTTTAGGGGATATACATGTGGTAAAAATGAATTCAAGGTTGTTTTGTAACTAAGTTACATGCCCAATCAGTGCTGCAAAACCTGCAATGTGTTGACTGCATAGACTGTAACTGGAAACCATTGACACATGGGGTTGGACATGTCTTTGCCAGTTTTGATTTAAAGGAAATGAGTCACAGAAAACATACTGAAAGTGATTCACTGTTTCAGCACTTTTCCATGACTGTTGTGTCACCACTCTGTATGATGTTGAAAAGACAAGTCCACTTAACACTGTTCTCCATTTTATTGTTTCCTAATGCTGTATTGCTTGTCTATATGTGACTGTATTAGAAGAAATTGTAAACAGTAATATGGATCATCTGAATTCAAATCCTGCAGGCATGACCGACGTGCATACATCACTCTTGGGTAAGGTGTGTAGTGGTCTACAAAACCTTTCCTCTATCCCTTTCCCTATGAGTTGGTTTCCAGATGACATCACAGAGTATCAGCTGCATTTCTGTGCTGGCTCTTGCCCAGAATACCTTTCTGCCCTATCGTCTCTGTGGCTGTGATTACAAGGTATGAGACAAGTGCAAACCAGCTTTTGTGCTGATCTCAGAGCTGAACTGTGCTATCAGTTGCATGCCTTTGCAGCCTTGACACTGTATACGATTGTAAGGATAAACTGGTTTCGTATCCAGAGTTCCCCCTACTGCTCTAATAAATCCTGATACAAATTGTAGCACTGGTCATTGTTCAGTGTCAGCTGAAGACAGCAAGATTAATCCAATGGTTGGTATTTTGCATGGTGAGTCTCTTTTCCCAATAACCTTTCCCAAATGATGCTGAACTAATTACATATTTTAATTATTTATTCTCACAGCTCCCTTATCATGTAGGCTCTTTCTCAGATTCCATTATGGAAAGAAAACTGAAAATCAATGGCTTTTCAGCACAGAATAACAATGTCAATGATACCTTTCACAGATCCGGCATCAGGCAAAGCTTGCATGAAGTTGTGTCTCTAATTCAGTTGAAAAACAACATTTAGAAGGTTTCAGTTATATCTGGATCATCTTACTCTGCTTGTTGATTGGTGTTACCAGGGTGATCTTTTCGTAGGATGACAGCTGCACCCAGCTATCCACGGTAATAATGAATAAACCATTCCAGCACTCTTTACAGTCAATAATGAGCTGAAAGAAGTTTTACAAGGATGTTCCCAAAATATTTTACAGGAGATGGAGTTCTGAATGATATAAAAAGAATACTTGGATACCAGAAACCTAATATACAATGAAAGCTCCACCATTCACAGTTGCATTCCATGAAGTCTGCTGAGCAGGTAGTGTGTCCTGGAATGCTCAG